GAACTCATTATACAAGCTCCACTATAATCCATACATCTCCACTGGACACATCCATCCACATATGTTGTTCAATCTGTGGGTAATTCACATACTCCATTAGATTTCCACATAACATAGACTGTTTGAGATACTCAGAGGTGTTGGCACCCTTTTCATCTCCAAGTCCCCTACAGAGTGTGCCATGATCCTTTAGGCTCCTATAAGATGCTCATGTCTATGCAACTACCCTCGTTCCATGAATCTTTACTGAGTGCCAAATCTGAGCCAGGCATGTTCCAATGGTAAGGATATGGCAGGGAATTGGGTCTGCACAAATGCCTGCCCTATGGACCTTCCACAATAATGGGAGAGACAGCTGATTAACAGGGTAAACAAGCAAAATCATCATTAGACATGTCAGACAGTCATGGTCCATGCTGAAGAGGTTACTAATGTGGGAAAGGGGTTAGGTACGTCTGCTGAATGGCACATGATTTTTAGATACAGTGGCCAGGAAGCAAAATGAACTATGCAGACAAATAGGGCAGTCCAGGAAGAGGAAACAGCAAATTCTAAAGTCCTGAGGCAGAAGTGTGCCTGGGTGCTGTAGCAACACTGAAGGGGCCAGTGCAGCCAGAAAAGAATGAGCAAGGCAGAGAGAGGCAAGGGAGGCCAAGAAGCAGATTTACACAGTCTTAGAAGCACAGTGGCCATATATCCTGGGTTATACCTATGTAAACATTAATTGAGCCTCCTTTCTCTCTGAAGTGTCACAACAGAGGGAAAGTTATATGATCACATTCCTTATAGGTCATTTTAAAGCCTGAGGTTTTATAGGCACATGTGTTTTTTCATCTAGACTACCAGAGTATTATTTATTTATTTATTTATTTTAAATATTTATTTATTTTTTTAGTTTTCCGCGGACATAACATCTTTGTTTGTATGTGGTGCTGAGGCTCAAACCCGGGTTGCGCGCATGCCAGGCGAGTGCACTACGGCTTGAGACACATCCCCAGCCCTACCAGAGTATTATTTATGCATTCATATACGCAACATTACGTCACATAATGTGACATGCTCTATGTGTGTCACATTATACTACGGGTATGATGCATAGTCACATGTACACAGATGTCTACACCCTAATTCCCAGACCTGTAAATATGTCATGTGACAAAAGTAATGTTGCAGATGTGATTAAGGATCTTGAGCTGGGGAGAGTGTCCTAGTTATCTGGGTGGCCCAATGTCATCACAGGACAAAGGAGGGTCAGAGTCAGACAGGGAGATGAGGAGAAGGCAGCAGAGGTCAGAGTGACATGGCCACAAGCTAAGGGAGAAGGGTGCCTTCTAGAAAATGGAAAAGGCAAGGGAAACAGTCTCCCCAGGAGCCTTCAGAAGGAATCCTGTTGACCCCTTGATTTCAGCCCACTGACACTCACTTTGGACTTCTGCCCTCCAGATCATCAAGATAATAAGTGTGTATTGTTTTAAGACACCAAGCTTTTGGGAGTTTGTTAACAGCAGCAATATAAACTAATATAGTGGAATACTCAAAGCCCAGATCCTATCCACATCACAGAGCTCCCAATACCCACAGTCTTTCCTATCTTTGCTCCAAGTAATCCTTTGCACAACCGAGGCCAGCAGGTGTCCGGTATCTCCTAGCTGGTGGCCTCACCTGAAGTTGAGCACACCCTTCTGGATGGGGAGGGCCTTCTATGCAGACCAAGATGTGGTTTCTTTAAGCCCAGCTCCAGGCAAACACCCTGCAGACCTAAGCCCCAAATTTGCTGCACGGAGGCCTAGGGCCTCCCTTCACCCTGGCTCCCTTGGCTCTCTGAATCCTGACACAGGTTCTGGTGGCCTCCAGAATTTCCTCCTCTCTGCTTGGCAGGACTCAGATGAGTGCATGAGGGATGATAAGAGAGGTTCTCACTGCAGCCTCATTTGACAAATGGAGAGACTGAGTCCAGGAGAGAGGCCTAAGGCTGCACAAGTTGTATATTAGGGCTGAGATCCCAGGGCTACAGTAGTGGGGATAAAATCAGATTTGGGCATGCAGTGGTGCATGCCTGTATCCTAGCAACCCAGAAGGCGGAGGCCAGAAGACTGCCAAGTTTGAGGTCAGCCCTAGCTATTTAGAGAAGGCCTTGTCTCAAAATAAAATAGAAAGGATTGGGAATGTGGTTCAGTGGTAGAGCGCTTGACTACCATGCACAAGGTTCATGGTTCGATCCCCAGCACGTAAGAAAAAAAAAAAAGTCTAGGCACCAACGCTCCTGAAGGGGAGGGACTAGGCAGTGCAAGCAGTGGGAGGGGGCGTGGCCTACTAGGGGTGCGGCCCAACCGGAGCAGCTGAAGCGCCAGGAGCTGAGGCGGGGCTTAACTGGGAGAGGCCGAAAGACCTAGAACAGGGGAGGGGGAACATGGATGGGGGCTGGGCTCACGCCGGCGTGGGTGGAGTTTGAGATGAGGAGGCGGGGCTCGCTAAGGTGAGCGAGCTGAGTAGAAGAGGTGGGGCTAGTGGGAGGAGGGGCCATCCGGGGGGCGGGGCCGAGTGCGGTATCCGCCCCCAGCACTGGCTCTGAGCCAAGGGCAGGCGGCTTCAGCCTCACCTACCGCGCGAGGTTGGGTGGGTGACTCAGGCACTTCCGGGAGGAACCTTGCGTATTTCCGGCCAAGATGGCGGCGCCCAGCAGAGTCAGGTGCGGGCGACTGTGTCTTTAGGCGCGGCGGGGGCTCGAGGCTCGGGAAGGTGAGATCTGCCCCGCTACGGCGACCCTCCTCGGAGAGGAGGGAAGAGTCCTGTTGCTAAGGAGAACGGAGGAGCAGCTTATTGCAATGGAGGCGGGATAATTGGGTTGCTAAGAGACGGGGACGCACGTAGTGGAGATGGGGGAGGGGATTTGTTGCTAGGGAGAGTGGGTGGGGCTTGTTGCTATGGAAGAAGGAAGGGCTTATGACTTTGGGGAAGGGTCCAGTTGGTATGAAGGAAGGGAAGGGGGCTGTGGTTAACCCAGGTGTGGGGAGAGAGGTTTGAGGTCATGGGGGGACGCCGAGCTCCCCTAAAGTGCCACCTTCTCAGCAGACCCCCAGGAATCGACCCATCAGGACGACAGAGCTGCCTCAGCGGTGACCACCTTCTCTCCCACAACATATTCTTCCCTCCTTCACAAACGGTCCATGGCAGACAAAGGCTCCGGGGGCAGTCGCCTCCCCCTGGCGCTGCCTGCAGCATCTCAGGGTTGTTCGTCAGGGGGCAGTGGCTCTTCAGCAGGGGGCTCGGGCAATCCCCGGCCCCCACGCAACCTCCAAGGCTTGCTGCAGATGGCCATCACGGCGGGCTCTGAGGAGCCAGATCCCCCTCCAGAACCCATGAGTGCGGAGGTAAAGTATTGGGACCCAAGAAGCTGGGGTGGGGGGCCTGGGAACAGAGGTGTCTTGGAAAGTGTGGCTTGGGGAACTAGTAGCTGGAGGTTTCCTGGATGGGGGCAGGATCCCAGACATGGAAGCATCGTAGGCTGTATTTGTGCTGCATAGGGTCATTGTAGAGGTCAGATGTCAAGTGTCTTGACATCATCTGGGACAGATGCTTCTATTCCAGCACTGTTCTGGGAGGGAGAATAGCTTTCTGGGTTCAAACAAACACAAACAAACCAACATAAAGGCTCTTTAGAACCAGACAAACCTGGATTCAACCTTGTCAGGCTGTGTGACCTTGGGTATTTTATTTAATCTTTCTGAGTCTCCAGATCTTCATTTATTTGCAATGTTGGTAAGGAGAAAAGGACTTCTCGTTCTTTTTCTTTTGATACTGGGGATTGACCTCACGGGTGCTTAACCACTGAGCTACATCCCCCAAAAGGTCCTCAGCCCTTTCTTAACTTTATTTTCAGACAAGGCCTTGCTAAGTTGCTGAGGTTGACATGGAACTTGGTATCCTCCTGCCTCAGTGTCCTGGGTCTCTGAGATCACAGCATCGTGCTTGGCTATAACCATACTCCTTAGCGGGGCTCAGAGTCCAGATCAGTTGCCTGCACATCATGCCCTGTGCTTAGGCAGCACATCAGCTTGACTTCAGTCAGACTGTGCCAGTTGCCAATGGTGTGCCCTTGCCTGGGATAAGTCACAACTTCTCTGTGCTTGTGTTTTCTTAACTTTGGATTGAGAATAATGGTAATACCTCATAGAATTGTTTTGAAGATTGATAGCAACATTTATTGGATGTAGTATTTAATTGGCAATTACTGAATGGTGCTAATCCAGTTATATACGTCATGTCATCAACCCTTAAAACAATGAATTAGGAAACAAGCACAGAAAGGTTAGTTTGCTCAAGTTTATCTAGAACTGTGACTACAGAGCCCTCTTATGAGGACTTAACACGGGGCCTGGCAAAAAAAGAAAAAAAAGTTTCAGTTGTTAACTCTCAGCTCTTGCTCCTTTGACCTATTGGTAGGTTTGATCACACTGCCTCCGACATTTGTTCTTTAGGACGATGTAGTCTCCTGGTGTTCATCACTGGCCCCCATCCATCCTCTTCCTTGTTGATTCTTCCTTGTTTCCCACTTCTTAATAATGGAATGCACCAGGACCAGTCCTGAGATCTCTTTTCTTATCCATACTCTCTTCCTGCTCGTGTTGAGCCATAACTATGACAAGTCTCAAATTTATGAACAGTCCCCTCCCCCCCCTCCCCCACAGAATGATCACACTCAGGATCAGTAGAGCCAAGTGGAGAAAGTCATCAGAGCCAGGTCTCTGATCTGAACTTCAGGCAGCCTCTTCTGTGTTCCACCTGGGTGTATAGACCACAGCCAGACCCACCAGGCTGGAAAGGGGGCTCTGTCGGTGCTGCACCCACTCTGAGTCTTCTGTTCTGCAGGCTGGCTGTCTCCTCCTAATTCCTTAGGACAAAAGCCTTGGGGCTGGGCTGGGGCTCAGTGGTAGAGTGCTTGCCTAGCATGTGTGAGGCAATGGGCTTGATCCTCAGCACCACCTAAAAAAAATAAATATAGATACTACGTTCATCTGTGAATAAAAATAAAAAACAAAACACAAAACCTTGGGGTCATCCTGACTTCCTTCTCTCACCCCACATCTCAGCTCATTACGGTTTTCTTTTTTTGTAATAAGTCTGAGGCCTGACTGTTTCTCACCACTGCCTAGATTTCTACCTTAGCCTCCTGAGAATCTCCCCGCCCTGCCCTTCTGCCTCACCCTGTCTTTCCACTCCCTCTGCCCAGAGCCTCCCTGACCTTGTTCTCAGACCCCAGGTCTTCAAGGACAGCCACAGGGCGAGGCTTGACCTGCTCCTGGGGTGCCTTCTGCACCTGCCCTCTCTGTTGGCTCCTGGCCACTCCCTCTGCCTGGAATGTTCATCTCTAGTATCTGCCTGGCTCTTCTGTTGCCAGCCTTATGCATCACGGCCTGCCTAACCGTCCCATCCAGTCTGCACCCCCCCAGCGGCCCACCTCCCTCTGCTCACCTCACCAGCGAGCAGTGCTTGTCTGTGTCACCGGGCCGCGCGCTGCGTGGTGGTTGTTTCCTGTGCCGCTGCTCCTCCAGCGGAGTGAGCACCCTGCCCCTGCAGGAGTTTCTGCCTGCTGGCTCAGGACCAAGTTCCTAGTGCCCAGAAAAGAGCCTGGGAATAAAACGATGCTCCACAGGTATTTGTCACAGAGGGCAGTCAGCCTCCCAGTTGGCCGTTCCTAATACTGTCACTCCCTAACTAGCTATGGCTGTTTCCCTCTTCATCCTTGTTCTCCAGCGTCGTCAATGGCTGCAGGAGGCCATGTCAGCCGCCTTCCGAGGCCAGCGAGAGGAGGTGGAGCAGATGAAGAGCTGTCTCCGAGTGTTGTCCCAGCCCACGCCGCCCATGGCTGGTGAAGCTGAATTGGCTAATGACCAGCAGGAGCGTGAGGGGGCCCTGGAGCTGCTGGCTGACCTGTGTGAGAACATGGACAATGCTGCAGGTAACCCCTAGTCCCCCACCAGCGCCTGTTGCCTCTGTCCACATCTCAGACAGCTCAGCCTTGTCACCATGTCTCTTGAGGACCCCACCACCAGCCCCACCCTCGCCTCTAGCCTCCCCTTCCAGCCACCAGGAGCAAGGCCCTTCTTGGACCCTATTAAGTCAGCCTGGTGGTGGCTTCTGTCCACCACTTGCCTAATGAGTCCTGAGACTCGTCATTTCTCTGTTGTATGCTGGGCATTCACGGCTGCTTCCCAGAGTATGAGTGGGAAGGTGGTTTTGGGTGGAGTGGTCAGGTAAGGCCTCCTTGAGGGGCCATGTTTGATTGGAGACCTGAGGTGAGTTGTGGGATTATCTGGAAAGAGCATTCCAGTGGCAGGGACAGCCAGGGCAAAGATCATGAGGTGGGAATGTGCATCTGCTGTTCAGAGACTCAGGAAGGCCTGGAGGCAGGGCAGAGCAAGTGAGGGTCCAGGGTTGGGAATGACATGGGCATGAGGCCTTGCAGACTGAGGTGCATGCTCTGGTCTTGTCCTAATATGGCTGAGCCCGAGCTGGTGGGTGCTGAGTCAGGGTTTGGGTTGGACTTCACTTCCACGGCTGCTTAGTCCAGACTGCTGCTTTGCGGCATGTGAGTTTGGGCAGGTCCTGAGAGCTCTTGAAGCCCTGGGTACCTTCTGTGTCCATGGGCTCCTAAGGATGGGAGGTGGGAGCTGCATGGAACTCCCTCTGCCCTGCTGCAGGTCTGGCAAACGTGCAGGGCAGGGGGTTCAGGTGTCTTATTTTTGATGTGGGAAGATGAGGTTTGGGAAGGCCTCCCTACTCCAGGTGTGGGAGCACATTTGGTGCTCTGGGTTTCCTGTTTCCCAGGCATAACTGGGCAGTGGGTACTGGGCCCCCAGTCCACAGGACGACTTTTGTGACTTTTGTCTGATTCATCTTCCACTTGATTGGGAAATCTCTTGGGCAGCTGCCGCGTGCTAAGTGTGTGAGTCTCCAGGCACAGTAGCAGTGACCAGTAACCAAGGGAGAAGTAGAGCTGCCGTCCCCTTTCCTCCTGGTCTGCTCTGCACGTGTGTGTGTGCACATGAACTCTCTTTTTTCCTTTTCCTTTTATTACTGATACTGGGGATTGAACCAGGGCCTCATAGCTGCCAGGTAAGCACTCTACCACTGAGCCACATCCCCAGCCCGTTTTATTTTTTACTTGGAGACAGGGTCTTGCTGAGTTGGGCCTCACTGAGTTGCTGAGGCTGGCCCTGATTTGTGGTCCTCCTGCCCCAGCCTCCTGAACCCCTGGGACCACAGGTGTGGCCATTGTTTCTGGCCAGCTTTTCTCTTCCTTGATGTGGCTGGCTGTTTCCTTGATAAACCCGCGCAGTGCTGGTGAGGGTGGGCTGTGCAAAGTGTCCTCTCCCATATTCCTTGGCCTTACTTCCATTGAGGCAAGATCCACAGGACCAAAGTGGCCATTGGCAAGCAGTACGACTGCATGGTGTGTAGTGTGCTCACAGTGTCAGGCCATCACCTCCAAACGAGACCCCATGCCCATGTCCCGTCCCTGTATGCTGAGGTGTTGGGGTTAGCTCACAACCTGTGAGTTCCGGGCTGCCACTCAGCCCAACCCTGACTTCTGCCTTCCTGTCTGTGGCACAGATTTCTGCCAGCTGTCAGGCATGCACCTGCTGGTGGGCCGGTACCTGGAGGCGGGGGCTGCAGGGCTGCGGTGGAGGGCGGCTCAGCTCATCGGGACGTGCAGTCAGAACGTGGCGGCCATCCAAGAGCAGGTGCTGGGCCTTGGGGCCCTTCGCAAGCTGCTGCGGCTGCTGGACCGGGATGCCTGCGACACGGTACGCGTCAAGGCCCTCTTCGCCATTTCCTGTGAGTGTCCCAAGTGACTGGGTGTGGGGTAGGGCTGGGGCCAGTGCTGTCCAGGCGGGGTCCCTACCAGGGCAGAGGGAGGGGCATTTCCTTTTTCTTTTACTTCGTGTCTGTTGGGAGCATCGACCTCTCCCAGGTGACACCAGCCACTCGGGATGGTGCTAGTGGACGATGCTCTGTTCCAGTTGAGTGCCTTGCACCCACAGTCTCAGCCCTGCCCTGTCCATGCCTGGGGCCAGTTCACTGTCCCTGGGACCATCCTGTGTGCCACGGGGTGTTGAGCCATGTCCCCGGCCACCACCGAGTATGGCACTGCAGGGTCCCTGGGTGGAGACTCACGGCAGCTCTGCCTTTGACCCTGACAGGCTGTTTCCCAGGAACTGTGGTGCGGATGGAGGCTTGGCCAGGGTTTGTGCAGCTCCTACTGGCCCCGGCTTCTGGGTGACATGCTGTGGGGTGCTTGTTCCATGCCGGGGTGACTGCTCAGGCCCCACACTCACCCTCTGAGTTAGGGACCACAGTGTCCCCTCCGCTCTGCACAGAGGAGGGTCCAGGGCAGGGAGGCCCTGGGAGGACACGGGGAACAGGGCAGAGCCCAGCGGCATTGCTCTTGTGTTTCAGGGGCCTGTGGGCTGCTTTAGGACCCCCGTGGACGGCTTTGTGTTTTTAATACTTTTATTGGGATATAAGTCACATGCCACACACTTGTCCTGTTGTGGTGTACAATTTAGTCCCTTCCAGTGT